ACTTAAAATCAAAGAAACTTTTCACATTCAGTGGGGAAAACCTTCAATTAATCATCAATTTTATCATGTTAATTTAACTTTTCCGTGTAATTGCATACATTGTTTGTTTACATTGTTTGTTTCTATTGTTTGTTTTGTCCAATGACCTTCGTTATACAATTTAAATTCAACTTTATAGAAATCAGAACTGAAGATGACAGAAGAACTGTCAAAACATGTTTTTAAAAAGTGTCGTATATTTCCTTAAACTTGAGACATATTTGCTACTTTCCAGACCTGTTCAAAAGCAGTTGCCTTTTCTCAGAAAGAAAAGAATTATCTGGTATACATGTTCTAGACAGGGAAGAAAACTGGTAAGAAGGTAAATGCCTCTGAATTGGCTTCCCAAATACAGAGTTTAAGAGTTGTTCATAACTGTAATAATTCCATTAGACATTAAACTTATAAAGAACGTGATAATGAAGTCACTTGGACAAAGGGGCTTTTCTACACAAGAGACTATGAACCACTTGTTGCCATTAAAACTACTCAGCCCATCATTTAATGTAGTTAGCATTAGTTTGGATGGTTCTCACAAAATTAAAACAAATTCTGTTGAGAGAAATGTTGGAACAAACAATTCACTTCTAGATGTTTATGCTAAGTGTGCTATGTACATTGAAAGTATTCCTGATATTACGACTTTAAATTTCTTAATTTTACAACCAAATATAAGACTGTTAACAACAAACTGACACTTCAGTCACCCACAGGAAGTTTCAGTGGTAGTCACCAACAGGAAGTCCTCACCTAGAGTTTTCCCAGTTTATTCTTTGAATAAGAAAGGGCCAAATTCTTCACTTTACTGTAAATATCAACTGCTTACATATAAACCCTGGCAGACAACACAAGACAATGCTTGGGGTGATCAGCCAGGTAATGATGAATATATGTCACAAAATGGAAAGAATTTCTGGAAACTCCTTTTGCTGAAAAAAATGTTCCTAACTGGCATGACAAGTTACAAAGTGCTCAAAATTATAGTGATGATGACACAATTGCTCAAGAAACCACACAAGAACTTCCTGCGCGTGAAGAATGGATGCTCTTATCAGATCTCGCTCCTAGATCATTTGTTACAACTGATCAACCACAGCAAATTGTTGACTCCCATTATAACTGCCAATCAGACAGACTTAAATATCAAGAAAGTCAAATAAGAGAAATGTCTTCATGGATTAAAACCAACAAAAAGAGTCCTTCACTTCAACAACCAGGACAGAACAAAATATAGATATTTATATATCTAAATATAGTGATATGCAGAAGCATGCTTAAGATATTATTAAGGGGCATTCAGAGCAACCTTATCCAAAGGATCCATTATTGCTTATAATTACTGGTGGTGGTGGAACAGGAAAAAGCTACCTCATTAATACTGTTAAAAACCTACTTCAACAATAATGTGCAGTGACAGCTACAACTGGCAAAGCTACGTTTAGCATAGATGGTTGTACTATCCATTCACCATTAAAACTTCCTGACAGTGCAAAAGGCAACAAATATTTAACTGGGCAAAGCCTCATTAGACTACAAAATATCCTAAAAGAAGTAAGCTATGTTATAATTGATGAATACTCAATGTTAGGCCAAAAATAGTTTCCCGGGTTGACCAACAGTGCAGGCAACCTACTGGTTTAACAGATCAACTCTTTAGTGGAAAGTCAATTATATTAGTCGGTGATCCTAAGCAATTACCTTTGCTAGCAGATAAGCCTCTTTATCACTCTAAGCCCTCCAGTACTCTACAAGAATAAGGTCATTTAGCCTATTTCAAGTTTAACACTGTTTATAAACTAAATGAAACAGACAGTAAAAGGATCCACCCCAGAACAAGGTACATTAAAAGATTTATGGAACCAATTGTGCACAAGAAATTGCTAAAAAGATGAGTAGAACCTTCTCTTAATTTGTCAACCATTAATAGCACAAAATATCACTGAATTTGAAAATGCAACTAGACTGTATTATAGCAAAGAAGTTGCAAACAACAACTTTCAAAAATTACCTTCTCTCCAACAACCAACAGCAGGTATTAATGCACAACACTCAACTGAGGCAGCTAAAAAGATAAGTGCTGATGAAATGTCAGGATTAGAACTTGTCTTCCTTGCAAAAGGGACACATCTTATCCTTACAATGAACTTGTGGGCAGACATTGGTCTTTGCGATGGTGCAACTGGAACTATAGTTCATTGTGATGACGTTGCTCTTTACCCCAAATCCACAAGTGTGGTTGATATCCAAAATTCCAAAAGAGAAGACCATAACAGCCCTACTTGGAGGTATCATTGAAATCGATGTAGAGAAGTTTCATTTGCATTTGCAAGATAAAACACAAAATGCAACCTTGAGGTGATGAAATCTGACAAATTGCTTCACAAAAGCAAACATCACTATCATAGCTGAAAATGGTGAAAAAGTTGCAATATATTACTGTCCTCAAATAGTCACCCAAGAGTTCTTCACAACCATATCCTGCACTTGTGGCAGCACTTTGGACCAGGATGTATCACATATGTCAGCTGATCTTATGGAGGAAAATCTTCTTAAAGTTACTTAAATGACATAGTTGATGAACACACAAATATCCAATCCACTAATCCCCACAAAAAGATGCAGTTTCAGTGACATTCTAATGAAAGTTGAACACAGCACCTCCTGATGAGACCTTTTTTGTTTTAGACACAATGTTCAGGAATATTTTTGGATTTTCCACACAATCAAACCATCTACTTTCTTATTGCAAAATGTAAAAAATGAACAAAAGGCATACATATTTCTATTTTTTTACTTCTACAGATCAGTAGCACGATCCAGGGTGGCAAAGCATGTTTACGAAAACCATATTGAGCAAAAAAATATATATTTCAAACAAAACACTTTAAAACTTATATATCCTGTTAGATATAGTTAACCTCTTTGTATTAAACCAAAAATCGTGGTAATAGAGGAAGAATTTATTTTTTTATGGATTTTAGTATTCAGAAAAGTGAGGCGAATTCTTATGTAACGCGTAACATAATCTGACAAAGCATCAAACATATTCAAAAATTTCTTACTTAAAAATTTAAAATTTCAAAATAATTTTGACTTAGAAATACACTAGAAACATAGACTTTTCAATAAAATAGTTAAAATTGGAACACTGAATTGTAATATTCGCGCTACGAAACAATTTTCTCGGCGACCGAACATGTAACGCTGTTTATACAATATTGTACTATACTTCATAGTCACCAAGATTTTGTCGCAAAAAAAAAGCTCAAATCAGTTTAAAAAAATACATACAATAATTCTCAGATGATTTATTTTCTGTATACAAATTTTTATTCCATTTAATTCAAAGACAGCGTAAAAAATCCAAAAAGTCTGAATCGCGAACACATAAAATGCATAGAAAATTTACCTTAAAATTATTTATCCTCATCTCCAAAAAGGTCTGTGATAGCCGCGCTTAAAATGAAATTGCTCTTCAACTAGCAGATCTGTCATTCTCAAATTCTAAACTTTCTATCGGTACCAAATGTTCACGAATCTAACTCAATTTAACATCTAAATTTATGTCTTTTTGAATCGCGAACATATTCGATCTTGGAACAGTATTGTTTGCATTGGTGTATCAGTTTACACGCGCAAAATAGTGGCAGTTTTAGAAATCTTCGCATCTAAACTTCGCTTCTTCCTCGCTTACAACAACCTTGTACATTACATCTAGAGGGGGTATACAACAATTAATTGATATACACCCATGAACAAACGATCGTTTGAGACTGGAAATTACTAGAGAACGTGACTTCCCTAGCGTGACTTCTTCCGTCGAGAGAATTTACACGCTTCGCTTGCGAAATATTCAATGGAAAACAAAAAATATTCTGCTGATCAATGGAGAAAAGAAAAAGAAGAAAAAAAAAGCTTAAACAACAAAGGGAATACTATGAAAGAAACAAAGAAGTTCTTGCACAAAAAAAGCAAGAGAAAGAATGCGCTTGCTTCGAAGCAAGAAAAAAAACGCGACAGTCGCCGCAGTGAAAACACGCACATCTGCACAAAAGGCTGATGACAAAAGAGCCAACCGTGAGCGGAATGCTGCATCAGCTACCAAGAAGAAGGTTTTGAAGCAAAGAGAAAAAGAGAGGGAAGAGAAAAAGCGACAGCAAACTCGAGAAAGGGTTCGAAAACTTCGTCAGAATAGAAAAGAGTCATCATTTGCGCAACCGAAACCTGAAGTCAACATCACCACACCAGCTTTTAGTTCAAGGATGGCAAAAAAACGTGCAAAGGACAAGGTGTCCCCTGCCTTACCTCAAACCCCCGCAAAAAAGGCTGAAATTCTTCAAAACCTTGCAAGTACTCCTCGCACAAGGAAGATTCTTGAAAAAAAGAAGTTCGTGAGACCAGTTGAGGAGCAACAAAATATCGAAGCAATGGAGTGTTTGGTAGAAGATTTGGCAGAAGGATTGTCCAAAGTCAAAAAAGCTAAGTCGACTGATGAAAGAGCAGCTTATAACTGTACGCGCTCTTTGGCTTTTGGATCTTCTGTCAAAAAAAAAGCACCAAAACACGGATTGCCAAGATGATGGGAGTAAAAAAAGAAGCCAGGTGTCCAAAGCTATCAAACATAGAGAAAGAGTTTTGAAGGGTGATGAGGCCTGCTGGTTGAGCACAAAAAAAGAAATGTCAGGTGTGACGCGATTAAAGAAGAAGATAAGCGTGTTATCTACGATTTTTGGACCCTACAAGCAAGTCGACCCACTGGATCCAAAAGAGACAAGATGCGGCAACGAATTGGCAAAAAGGAGTATGTGGAGCACGCAAAGCATACCCTTGAAAAGACTCAAACAGAGTGTTTCAAAGAATTCCAGGAGCTACATCCCGACATAAAAGTGAAACAACGAAGATTTGAGCAGTTGAAGCCTTTCTTTGTTACTGGAGCTAGAGAGAGAGATAGACAATCTTGCTTGTGTAGGAAGCATGTAGAATGCAAAATTGTATTTGATTCTTGCATGAAATATCGAAAATCCATACAAAATAATGAAGTTCAAGCCTTTAATTTTCTCACTGAAGCTGTGGAATCCACATTGTGTGAAAAGCCAGAAGACTCCAGCTATTCCTCTCTAGACTGCCTGACAAGGAGCTGTGACAAGTGTGGGGTGAAGAACTTCAAGACAGCAGCTGAAGAAATGTCTGAAACTGAAGTCAAGTGGAAACGATATGAATACATAACGTACAAAGATAACAATGGCGAGGAAAAAAAAGGAAAATCCACTTGGTCCAAAAAAAAACTCCTGTCAAAGAGATGTTTGACTATTTCCAGCAACTCCTGAAAGATTATCCCTACCATTCATTTATGGCCAAATGGCAAAAAGAACAGTTTGATCATTTAATGACAAACCTGCCTCTCAACCATATCATCTGTGTGCATGATTTTTCTGAGAATTACACTTGCAGATCACAAGATGAAATTCAATCAGAGTATTTCGATCCTGTGAAAGTCAGCATTCATGTGTCAATTGTCTATCGCCATGCTGATATTGACATTGATGGCAAAGCAAGTACAGAACAAGACCCTGTCCTCATCAAAAAGCACATCTTTGCCCTTTCAGAAGACAACACTCAAGACTACCATTTTGTACACCACACCCAAGGCCTAATACTGACGTACCTTAGGAATGAGGTCAAAGTGAAAGTAGACAAAGTTCATGAATTCACTGATGGGTGTGCTGGACAATACAAATCTAAGCACACTTTTGGTGATTTGTCATGTTCTTTGTCTGACTTTGGGTGTCAGGTGGACCGGCATTTCTTTGAAACCTCTCATGAAAGGAGAGCAAGATGCAGCAGGTGCTAATGTCAAACAACGTGCTACTCTTGCTGTGATTCGAAGAGAAGCATCCATCAAGTCTGCAAAGGAGCTCTATGAGTATCTGAAGGACAAGTTCTCTTTGCCATCTTCAACCAACAGCAAAACCACCTTAAACAAGAGAGTATACTTCTACATTCCACTAAATGGAGAAGGAGCTGTTGACAGAAACAGAATTGGCCGCACTTTTAAAGAGCTAAAAGGGATTAGAAAAATCCACTCTGTAAAAACAACTTCTCAGCAATGTAAGGTGAAGACAAGGCTAAGAAGCTGTATGTGCATTGGTTGTTTAACTGACATGGACTGTGAAAATGAGGAGTATGTTGATAAGTGGAGAGAGGTTGAGATGTCAAGAGAAGGAGATGTTGCAGTCACAAGGCAGAATCAAGACTCAGTCAATGTCAGTAAAACAGTCAATGCACTCACTGATCTTGTTGAAGAAGGAAGTACTGTCGCCATTGCAGCAGCTGATGACGCCATATATGATTACTACCTCTTCAAAGTTACAAGCAGTGGTGCCATAATTTTGGGTGAAGATGAAGTTGATGACTATAGTGCTGCTTATCAGAAAGGTTCCTTTGTCTTCAAGGGTAACTTTTTCCTAAGGGACAATATTATAGACATGACCTACAAGCTTGACAATAAACAAGCTATTGTGTATGCAAACACTGTCAGGACTATCTGTGGAGAACTCAAGAAATTAAATAGGCGTAGAAATGTATTATTCCAGCTTTTACCCAACCAGCATGAGGAAATTATGTCTTCTTTTTAGTTATGTAAATAAAACTGTGTTATTTCTAAACAGAATCGTGAATTTAAGCCTGCAAATGTGTAAATAGAATATATGACCACGCCTGCTATGCATTCTGGGTATTAAGTAATGAGGATAATTTAACAGATAACATCAAATATTTTCTCAAAAAGTAGTTCTTACAATAAAAGTTTATGAATAATCTATGTTTTGATGATTTTTTGGTAATTTTATGAAGTTGCTAGTTTTTCCCTAATGTTACGCATTTGTACCCCTGGATCTTGCAACTGATCACAATTATTTTGTAATTACCTAAGAGATATCGAAGACCATTAAAGTTGTAAAACAAAACAAAGCAGCATCAAACAAGATTCTTATTGATGAGACTGTTGTTTCTTGTTTAGAAACTTATTCTTCAGGAAATTTTCCTGAATTTTTTCATGCACGCTTGTGTATATTCAAACTATTTTGTTTTTCTATCTATGATACATTTGTAACATGCTTGAATTAACATTGTTTATCTTGTTGATATCTTTTTGTTGTTTGTTTCTGTAGGAGACCCTGCATACAATTCTTCAAATGAACAAAATTTATGACACTTTCGTTGATTCTAGAATAAACCCATTTTAGCTGTTAGTTTCATTATTGCTCTTTCTGACACGCATTTTATTTTCAGTTCAATGTCCTTTTTTTGTAACATCATTCTGCTACTACAACCCCATTGATTAAAAATTACAGTTTTTTATGTAATACTGAAACCCATAGCTCTCCACTACAAGCTAACATGAATTCAAGAAATTCACAACATTCCCCCATTTTTCCTCACCTGGAAGAATCAAGATTGTTGTGTCTTAGAAGGCTTTTAAATGCATTAACACAGTTACTTTCAGTTTCAAATGTTAAAGAGAAATTAGTACTCGGAATAATTCTACAGAGTACCTAAACATCTACCACCACATAACTCAGTGGGCAAGACCAGTTCTGGCTGATGATTTCAATTATTTAATTAAGAGCAGTGGCCACACATAGTCCTTGACTACCTATGGACTACCAGGAATTAAACAATATTGAAACTAAGCTTTTCACATCTCTAAATATCTTGTGTTACCAGAAGTTGGAAACCATAGTGTGAGCCCTCAATGAAAGATTGGAAAACATAAGATAAAGAAGATTGAAACACAGCTAACATGATTAACAAGTGAAGAATTCTTCACAGGAATTTTTAGTTCAATTAGTCTTCTCCGTAACTGTGACTGTTATTTTATCTTTCATTTATATGTCATTTTATCATATAAAATTTTAACTCTTTCTCATTTAATATCTTTAATCTGGATTAATACCACATACCTGATTGTAGTTTTTCTACCTTAGTATTCTTGTAATTTATTCTTTTACCTTATGGCATACTACCCGCAAAGCAATAGCGGGTTTACCACTACCAGCAAAAAAAAACCTTCAACATGAAAGTGTCAGGAGCCCATCAGCACAGAGCCTGCACCTTCCATACTAATCCTTTGAGTCAACCCTCCCCCTTTTTTATCATTAGCGGGGGTCTTGGATTCCCAGGTATTCTTTGGAATGCCCAATCAGAACATAGCTGATTATCTTATGTCACACACCACTGATCACAGCTATCAGGGGCACACAGCAATATGATTGCAGTGATAGCAGAGCACAGGGAAAATTCATCAAATGAAGAAAGTGAAAGTTCTGATTGTTACAATGTCTCTTCATCTGAATTAAGCACATCCTCCAAAAGTAGTGGTGAGGAAGAAAGCATATCAAACCAGGTTAAAGTGAAAGGTGATGTGTCCACCACAAAGAACTCACAGCCGGGAAGGAGGCAAAAGAAAGATACATCTCTAAATGCTAAAGATATGGAAGACATCAAAACCTGGATTTTCACAGTAGCAGAAGTCAAGAAAGTCAAAGAACAGCTCTGGTTGATTCTGATAGGGGGATGCACAAATTAAAGGTTATCGTAAATGTTTTCTGGAACATCTGTTATTCAAAGCAGAAGTGAACAATTTTCAGTTGTTGGTGAGTGGGTTTTGCCACAAGTTTTCTACTCTAGCAATTGAAGCATTCAAGAGCAATCTTCACACTTACAGGAAAGCACCTTTTTTCGGTTGCATGGATGAAGTTTCTGTCCAACATACTTCCTGGAAAAACAATGCAAGAGCAAATGATCATGGAGAGGGTATTGAGGAATTTGAATCAGCAGTCTGATTCATGCTCAGTTCACAGCGTTCTAAGTGAAATACATTAAAGTGCAAGGAATCAAATCTAGCTTTCAAGAGAAATCAATCCTCCATCTAAGTTTAAGGTTTTATCTCTGTAACCTTTCTCTGAATATTTGTTTTGGGTTAAACTCTTCCTGTCAATTAGTTTTCCTAATACAGCTGAGTAGGTAAAGACAGACAAATTCACTCCACTTATGTGCTTAAGTGCACTGAAAATTTCCTCCAATGCACTGCCATCGATCCTTAATGAACTGATGAAATATCTCCCATCTGGCAACACACTGATAACAAAACCACTCACAGCGTAAGAGAAGCAATGACCGACAACTTGAGGGAGATTCCAGGTCTATGAAAAATAACAGTGACACAATAATACAGTATGGCACAGTAGCAGGCAGGGTTTCTGTTAGAACCAAGATGCCAGGACCTTTACTCAGCTTTTTGAATGTTTGTTGCAGCTATTTCACTTGATGTTTTACAATTAAGTTTTAAAATTGAGCTGACATGCATTAAGTATTTTAACTTTATTTCCTATATATCAAAACAAAATTATTATTTATTTCATTGTGGTCAGGTATTTAGTCTTGCCACATATTAATCATGTTTAACTTATTACAAGTTCATGATTAGACGTTGAAGTAGTTGCATTCGTTATCATGCCTTAAGATTGTCATTGAACTATCAAAAAAACTTCATCTGTAAGTAATCATGTTAAAAAATAACAGTGTCAAAAATCACAGAACCCCTCCACAAAATTTTACGTACTTATGACCAACTTTTCCCCATTATTGCAACGTGGAACAGTAAAAAATAAAAAATGTTCCATTAGGTAATTCAGTAGACGATGCACTCTCAAAGGTTAAAATCAAACAGGAACAGAAGGAAATCTTCTCCAGGTCAACTTTACATGACATTCAGCCACATTGATGACCCTTGGACAGCAGGTAATGAACCAGAAAATCAATCTGTACTTGACTTAGTGGTAAGTTCTCCTCCTTGTTCTTTAATGATTATCTTCTTTCAAATTCCTGATTGTTCTTCAACAAATCAAATAAATTCTAAAGTTTGTCCTACTGTTTTGATGTAAACAATGTGAGGTGAAGCAAAACCATAGTCTACTTTAACTTGTTTATCACTTTATGAATATGATATGAACATGCTCTGAGTTTTAAGTGTAGTTTTAATAAAATTACAGGCAGACAGTGAAAAGAACTTTTGCTCCAAATGCAGATGAGACCTCTCCAGCAAGCGCTTTGCCTGTTTCAACCACTGAAGAACCTTCCAATGAAACCTCCTCAAATCTTAAGCTCAATCACAGTGTTTCCAGGCCACAAGTGATTGCTGAGGATTCATCCCTTCTTCCCATAGCCCATTCTTCATCTGCTTCTTCCAGCAGGCCAACTTCAACAACGCCGCCTGTTTAGAGCAATGTCAGTGCTATGTGTGAAATGATATATGGTTTATTTCCTGGAGGTGAAATTGTGCATAGTTTCTACCACTACTCTGAAAGTGAATGTAACTAACAGAAGGAGAAGGGGAAGAAAAAATTTGACCATGCATGGATCTTTAAACACAATTTAACTTAGGATACAACAACAAGACCATGGTGGTTGCTTTTTGTCAAAGAAAAGGGAATGTACTATTTGCTCTGCCGACTTCACCATGCCAGGAGTAAGCATAGCAAAAGCTCATTGTAAGGTATGGACCCTGCTGTACAATTCCAAACCTCAGTGCTTATGGAACACTGTAATGGACAGAAAAACTAAAATTCCACTGTAGCAGAAATGCTGAAGAGGACCTCGGTTTTCCAAGCAAAACTAAATGAGCACAATCTCCACCAGCATGAAATTCTGTTTAGTGTTTTTATGTTGTTGTACTGGCAAGTTGAGCATTAAGAACCAGATGATCTCCCTGCAACTTTGGAGATTGACCCATGTTCCTCCCGTGTCCCAAAAGTTGTCAAAGAGCCTAACTTTAATGCATATATGGCCTTAACTGTGATGATGTGGACAACATAGAGGACTCTGACAATGAATAAGACTATTTTTGTGAATAAATCTTAAGATAATTTCTTGCAGCATTTCGAAGCTTTTACGTATACAAATACAATTATTAGAAGTGTAATACAGTGAAAAAATTGAATGATAATGATTATGTAATGATTTTAATCAAGTTTTCAGAATGAGTCAAATCAGTTCAAGTACATTGCTTGAATAAAAATGGACGGATTGTAGTGAATTTAATTGAAAAAGAAAATATCAAAACCAAATACGCATAGAGTAACACCAGTCTGAGGAATGTAATATGGAGTGTTTAAACGCTGTGAAATATTCCAACATACGAGGGTGAGAAATTGAGAGATGATGCTGTTACAAAGCACACATTGTTTTACAAGCTTGTTTGCCTTAATAAGACTGATTTCAGACAAGTTCTGAAGGGAAAACATTGAATATTGAATCATCTATACTTTCACTAGGCACAAAATGATGCAAGAGTACATGCTTGCTGTAGCATTTTCTTCCCTGTTTGATCAGACAAAAGGTGCAAAGATTTCAGTACAGTAAAAAATTAGTCACAAAAATGTCTTCATTTCTTAGCTTTAGATTTCTTAAGAACCCTTTAAAAATTTCCTAGACAGCCTCAAACATCTCAAAACTTAATCTGAGCTCAATCCTCAAAGTTTACAAAAATTAAGAACTGGTTTAGAAGGACTATGTACTCACTTGTACACTTGTCTGATAAAATATCTCTCTGGGATGAATAAGCCACAATCTTCAG